AGAGGCGGAGCGCCCCATTGAACTATGCCCTGTGAGGGACATTGGCTTTTTCACACCTGGAGAACGGTGGAGTGAAGCCCTTCGCCCTCGAAGGGGAGTTTTCCTGAACCCCTCACCGACCAGCGACAGGCAATTTTAGAATAGAATTATTATTCGATCTCATTCATCGAGTTCATATCTGGACTGCAACAGAGGTCTCCATCTCCATCTCCATGTCAACAGTCCATGGGTGTACAGACTACCAATTTTAAATTGGTAGTTTAAATTGGTAGTTTGTACACCCATGAACTGTTGACATGGAGACCTGTGTTCCAGTCCACATATGTGAACTCGATGAAATGAGATCAAATAATTCTATTCGAAAATTGCCTGTCGCTGGTCAGTTCGATGATAATGGGCATCCCTCCACTACTCTCGAAATGTGCAAAACGAGAGTGACTCTTGCGCTAGAAAATGGAAAGATGCACGGCCATGGTTTTTGTCTTTTGTGCATGTCGAGAGTAGCGCAGCGAGCCCCGATATCTCAAGGCCATCGAGATTCGGCGCCTCGCCACACCAGCGGCACCACTCACCAAATCTGTAAAATGCGAAAATGTGGCGGCCTGTACATTTCACGGGTCCGCTGGAAGATCTTTTTTTTTTTTTTTTAATTTATAAAAGGACGACGGCCTTGAGATATTATCATTGAGCTGACCGGCCCCAAGCAATTCATTAGTAGTTGGCTTTACTCGTCAAATTCCATCATCTCATCTGGATTCGAACACAGGTCTGTATTTTAACAGGTCAAGGGTGTACCCACTGAGCTAGGCTCGTGGGTGAAGATCTATTTTCGATTGCAAATTTGGTGAGTAGTGCGGGAAAGACGCCCTGCTTTGTTTGTCCGCATGTGGATTTGTGCATTGTGCATTCGCTACAGCTCCACCCAAAAAAGCACGACTGTGCACAGATTGGACCCATGACGAAGTTGTCATGTTCGCTCTAGTGCGTTGTCTTGTTCTTTTTTTTTTTTTTTTTTTTTTTTTTTTTTTTTT